AAAAGTACCTTCATTGATGTTCTTTACCAGCTATTTGATTATATATGTGCAACTAAAACATTTTTAGACCTACCCTATCTCTGGCCAACTTAGCAGCCAGCAGCTACAACAGGAGAAGGTCTGTTCATCTGCTCTGAAAAAAGAAATCAGGGAACAATATGTATGGACCTACAAATAAAATAAAATAAAAAGTCATCACAGGAAGAAGAGGAGGAGGAGGTGGAATAGGATATAGAAAAAGTGGAGGTGGAGAGAAATTGACTTGACAGACTTCATCCCTAAGCAGCATATATAGACTACTTTCTGCTCTATTGGAGAGCACATACATGTAATATTATGAATGACTGAAAATGCAGTTTAAAGAAGAGCATTTAAAATTCTCAGCCAGAGAGCTCTTGTGCCTCACCAAATTACAAATCCCAGAATTCCCTAGGGTATTGTAATGGCCATTAAAGTAGAATCATAGTACTGCAATTGTAGTGTGAAAGGGTACCTTGATTTTTCTTTTCTTTTTCTTTAAAAACCATACTGGAAGGAAAACCATTCATGTGAGCAAGTTACATTTGCTCACATGGATGGTTTTCCTTCCAGTATGGTTTTTGAAGTCAAACTCTGGTCTTTTTCACACTATATGATTATAGCACATTGATACCACTTTAACTGACATGGTTCCATCCAATGGAATCTTGCAGTTTGTAATTCCTCAACAAACTCCAAATCCTAGGGTTCCATAGGATGCATCCATGACACTTAACATGGTATCAAAGAGCTATAATTGCAGTGTGAAAAAGACCTATATATTGCCTGTTAAACCTTGATTATTGAACTTAGGGGCTATACAGACTGTCATAATGAGCCAGCCTGGAGGTCGAGTCGGAGTATGGTGACCGCACACCAGCCCCCCAACTCTGCCCTCCCCATCGTCCCCATGCCACCCACCCAAACAGATGCCAGGTGGCATCAGGGCACTCACTTGGTGTAGCATTTAGACACACTGTACCAAAGGAGTGCAGAAGAGCCACCACTGCAGTGGCAAGGGCGGCTTTTTCCCACTGCAAAAAGAAGCCACAAAGTGCCAGATCGTGGCCATGGCGTGCAGTTGCCGTGGCCTCAATCTAGTGCTCCCAAAGGTGGCCATCTATGCAACCCCTTAGTGTCCATACAGGTCTTGTTATTTTAATAGGGCTGTATACAACTCTCTGGCAAGGTTTAAAATGGAAGCTTCAATTCCAGTGGTCATGATGGCTGGGGAATCCTAGAAATCATAGTTTAAAGATGTACCTTTTCTGTCATTTAGGCCTCCTTATGTAGGGAAGTGGAAGAGGAGTGAAAGTGGGTCTGCAGCGAAAGCACTGCAGGGCTACACCCATACTGCAGAAATAATACAGTTTGAGACCACTTTGATTCCCATGGCTCAAGCTATGGAATCCTGTGATTTGTAGTTTGTTGTGGCATCAGAACTCTCTGACAGGAAAGGCTAAATGTCTCACAAAACTACAATCCCCAGAATTTCATAGTATTAAGCCATGGTAGCTACAGTAGTGTGAAACTGGATTACTTCTACAATGTGGATACAACTTGAGAGATACTGATTGGGCAATACTTAGCAGGGAAAGTGTAGTATTAATACAAAACACACCCAAATTCTTATGTCTTGGCATTACCTGAAACAGTGCAAAGAGCTGTAGACTCACAAAGAAAATTAGGAAAAGGGCTATAAAGGTTGTCCCCATAAGTCATTTCAGAAATTACTTGGTTTCTTCAAGCCAAAATGCAAAAGGCTTCTTTTTGTTCTTACATGTTTAAGAATTCTTGAGAGTAGCAACATTCTCTGAGAGAGAAGAAAACTGTTGTGTACCTGTCTGAACGTTGTCTGAAAGAGAAGAAGACCATTGTGTACTTTTCCTCATTCATAGATCTAAAAAAGAAAAAGAAAGAAAATTATCTGTCCTGTGCTTCACTTATGACAATGGATTGTGAAAAATTTATGTCAAAGTGTTCTCCATGTAATTCACTTAAAAGTATTTGGAATTAATTTGCAATCTTTTTTGCGTGCTGTTCTTCCAGCTTCAGTAACAGAAAGCAATGTCCTTACAGTAACAATCCCGACAGATTATACAGACGCTAACCTATTATGACCTCTGAGTCATCTTTGGAAGAGGTTCAGTATGATGCTAGTGTTTTCTCATTAAGCTTTGTTTCCCCAGAGCTAGACTATTTTTGAAGCAGACAATATGTTTCCCTGTTTAGCAATAAATAACTGGAACAGCAGTTTCTCTTAGCTAAATATGTTGGGTTTCATTTCTATCAATATTTCAGCAGAATTCTTGGCATTGGTCTAAGGACATGACTGACAGGATGTTCTTCAGAATTTTCTACACTCACCTTCCTCATTGTGTCCTCTTTCACGGGAGTTCACACATGCCAAAAAAATCATAGAGAAAAATTGGATTATAACTCCCCTAATCCCTTTCTTGGAATAACCACTGACCATGCTGCTAGGAGATTTGGAGAACAATAGTTCAAAACTAAGGGGCTATGCAGATGGGCAGCTCTGGGCTGGCACTTGAAGTGGTGGATTGGGGCTGCAAAAACCCCATGCTGCAGCCCCAATCCTTCCTTTTGCCACCCTAAAAGAGCATCAAAATGCCTCTCCTTTTAGTGGTGGCAAAAGGCCACTCTAAGAGCCAGCGCCGTGGCTCTTCTGTGCCCTTTTGGTGCAGCGTGTCTACATGCTGCACCAGGAGGGTGTCCTGATGCCACACACCATGTGTAAGGGTGCACAGCGTTATGATGGCATCTGGATGGGGTTGGGGTGGCCAGTGTGTGGCTGCCCCTCCCCAACTCTACCCCTGGGCCAGCCTTTTAGGCTGGTCTGCATCAGCCCTAACTTTATTATGATCTTCCAAATAAATACATGACTAATTTTCTACCCTCAATATATATATATTATAATACATTGAGAGCCAGCGTGATATAGTGGTTTAAGTGTTTGACTAGGATACTAGGAGTTCAGGGTTCAAATTCCTGCTTGGCCATGGAAACCCACTAAGTGACCTTGGGCAGGTTCCGCTCTCTCAGCCTCAAAGGAATGTAAGGAAAACCTGTCTTTGAAGAAATTCTGCCAAGAATACTTCATTAGGAGGTCGCCATAAGTCATAAATGATTTGAAGTTTCACAACAACAAGTTGTAATATTATCTTAGCAGCCATTCAATATATCAATCACTTGCAGTCAATCACTTATACCCTGTCTTTTCCCCAAGACTGGAACTCAAAGTGGCTTACAGATTAAAAGCAGTACAAATAAAACCACACTTAGCTAAGAGCATACAAAAATCAAGATAAAAATAGCATCAAACTATAGGTATAATTAAATTTAAAATATTAAAAACCTAGGGTAAAAATAATAATATGGTACATTAAAAGAGAAAACCCTTAGATGTCAATCAATTAGTTCCCAAATCTCTACTGGAACAAGAAGGTCTTTGCATGCTAATGAAAGGACATTTAGGGAGCCAGCTTAGCTTTCCTTGGAGTTCCAGTGTCTGGGAGCAACCACAAAGAAGGCCTTCTCCTGTGTTCCCACTAAACAAGCTTGTGAAGGTGATGGGATTGAGAGAGGTACTTTAGAGCTTGGGTAGGCTGATATGGGAAGGTACAGTCCTTCAAATAGCCTGGACTTGGGCCATCTAGGGCTTTTTAGGTCTAGCAGCTTTTGGTAAGCAGGGACACAAAAAATCATGATGTGATGATAGTAAACATGTGAGTCCTTGAAAACATCACCATTTTATGTGTGTATGTGTTTGGATGTGGGGAACTTGTTACAAATTCCAATCTGTGACTGATCATGAGGAAACAGTTGTAGTCATATCATGCAGATGGGCTTCCCATGCCCAACTAGCTAGACTAGGTGGTCTTTTTATATGATCTGGCATGGCTTTTAAGGTGTTTTAAGTGTTTGGATAGTTAAAGTTGATATCTTTGCTTCTCTTCAGATGTTCAAAAATATATAGTATGCACAGGTGAATCTCATTTTTCAGATTCTGTTTTGATTTTTACTCCAGGCCTTAAGCCCACCAAGCAAGTGGAAGATAATGGTGGGTGGGATGTAGCCACAGACACAATGGCAGCTCAAGAGGGAGAGTCAATTGTCAACTGCATCTTGTAAGCCATACACAGGGATGAACTATATGTAAGTATTTGCTACAGGTCAGGGAGTCTTCAAAGCTTAGAAATTTTTCTTTTATTTTTTGACTACAACTCCTATAATCCCCTCACCAGCATGGCCAATATCCATCCCACTTCAGAAAGCTACAAGGCATTTTATTGTTGCTAATGTGAAATAATTGGAACTTGGTGAAGGGAAGATGGAAGTTTGTGCCAATAGGCACATGACTACTTTTTACAAGCCTAAGGCTGCCTTCCTATTACAATTGTTTGGAGGTACTCAAACTGCATTTAGTATTTTCACATTTAAGTAAACAAGGGCATGAACAAACTGTAATCTTTATATTTGTTAGACAGTAGCTGTATTAGTCTGCTGCAAAGAGAATAGTTAGCCCAAAGCACTTCAAAGGGATACTGTGAAATTGGTGAACTAGTGTTTGAGAGTGGTTTTGATTCTATTCATTCAGGCCTCAGACAAGACAATCATTTTCACTTCCACTGCAGATGTAAAATTAGCATAGAAAAACTAGGAAGATTGTGCCATTATCAATTACTCCACATGTGCATGTATATTGAAAATGTTTGTGTAAAGGGGATTCACAAGCCCTTCCGTTTTATATTGGAAAAGTACACTAGGAATGGAAAAGAAATCCATTTGGTTAATGCACACATTTCTAATTTCACATTTTTAAATGGAAATGTGAGCTGATACTTGTAACTCTTTTGAAATTTGCACTTCTTCAAATTTTGCAGTGGAATCCTCCAAGCAAAAACTTAACTAAAAATTGCTTGCAAAATGCTGCCCAATAGTGAAAATAATATTTAAAATGTGCCAGCATAGCACAGTGGTTTGAGTGTTGGACCACGACTCTGAAGACCAGGGTTCAATTCCCTGTTCAGGCATGAAACCCACTGGGTGACCTTGAGCAAGTCACAATCTCTCAGATTCAGCAAACTTCCTCTGAACTTCCTCTGAACAAATGGCAAACTTCCTCTGAACAAATCTTGCAAACTTCCTCTGAACAAATCTTGCCAAGAAAACCCTATGATATGTTTGCCTTAGGGTCGTTGTAAGTCAGGAATGACTTGAAAGCACACAAGTTGATAACAGAATCCCAAACAGAATCCAGATTATCTGATAAATGTCAAAGGTCTTTAGTCTTAAAAGAAAGGAGTGGGGAATTATGGGCCTCAGCAGACGGAGGCCCCGGAGCCGCCGCCGAACGGAGCGCCACGGGGCTGCAGCCTCCGCATCCAGGCGCACCGCCGGCGACCCTAAAAGGAGCACCAAATTGGCGCTCCTTTTAGATGTCAGAGAAAGTGCGCCGCAAAAGCGGCGGGCGCACTTTCTCTGACTCAAACGGCGCAGCGCATGTGGGCGCTGCGCCGTGAGGTCATCCCCAATGCGCCGGTCGTGTGGACGGCCGGCGCATCTGGGGGCGACCTCGGAGAGAGGAAGGGGCGCCGTTCGTGCGGCTGCCCCTCCTCTTCTCTGCCCAGAAGACGACTTTATTAGTCGTCTGCTTAGGGCCTATGCCTGTTCCAGCAGCTGTGTGTTCACTCACCATTTAACAATTGACTGAATGGGACTTTTGTACCTGGACTAACCAACAGGATTCCAGCCATAGTTAAAGAATGCCATGTGATTATATGACTGATAACATGAAAACAATGAAGTACCACTAGCACACTTGAGAAACTACTAGCATAAGCCTACAATCCACTTCATCAGTTGCATCTAATGAAGTGGACTGTATTCAGTGAAACCTTATGGCAGATTTCCCCACCCAGTTACTGTAGTCTCAAAGGAGATAGTTCATGCCCTTTTATGCTAAAATACAGTAATAAGACTATCTCTTTGAATATTATCAAAAAATTAAAACAATTTAAAAGCAGTTTAAAAACATTTCAATTAAAAACAGTACAGCATTCTATTAAAAGCTCATTCTTTAAAAACATTTAGTTCACAAAATCTTTTTAGGAGTGGGGAAAAAGCACCTGTTGATGGATAGCCAGAAAAGGGACATCCTAACCTCCCTAAGAAGAGAATTTCAGAGGAAGAGGTAGCCACCAAGGAGGCCCTCTGTCATGTCCCTGCCCAGTGCATATGTGTTAGTGGTGGGATTGAAAAAAGTATCACTCTGGAGAATATAGTCCTTCAGACAGCCTGGACTTCAACTGTATAGTTTTATAGGTCATAACCAGCACTTTCACTTGTGCCTAGAAATAGACTGGTAGCCAGTGGAATGATTCCAGCCAGGCAACTGTATGCTCCCTGTAACCAGACCCAGTTAACAATGTGGCTGCAGCTCTTTGAACCAAATGAAATTTCTGAACACTCTTGGAAGGCAGTTCCATATAGAGTACATTGCAATAATGTAATGCATGAGCCACCATTGCCAGATCAGGCATCTTTACAGTCTGTATGCTATCTCCTTTCAACTGTCAGATCTAAAACAAGCCTGTTCTACTTACCATCAAAGCCTTCCATAGCCTTGCTAACTCATTGGTCTCTGTTTTTACATCCCAACTGTTCTCTGTTTCATTTCCATAGCTCTTCCACCTTCAACCCTGATCCCTCAAAAGCTCTGCCCTCACTTCCTTGCTATCCTGTATGCCTGGAACTTTGTAATGAGGTGTGTGATACCTTTCCCATGATTTTTTGTCCTAGTCCCCATGTCTTACTCTAACTCAGCCTAGTCTAAGCATATATATATATTAAAAAATCACTTTTTACTTGTGCATTTAGTCCTTTCTCCAGTGCCTTTACCATCTTCTCTTGTTTATCCTTGTGCTGAATTTTTGATCCTAGGGGCTTATTCCCACTTGCATTTATACCAATTTGCAATTTTTATTGACACCAGGTTGCAGATTCGATTCAGGTTGCTGTATAGTTCCCAATATGGAAACAATTACTTCCTTAATCTATATTGTTCCTACTAGTGAGCCAAGGAAGTGGCTGGAGGAAACACTTTCCCAGAGCCTTGACTTTGGGGTGCCTCAGGTTTGTGCTTAAGCCTCTCTTAAAACTCATGTGTTTTATGTGTTTGTGTGTGTGTGTATGAGTGTGTGTCATGTGGGCCCCTGGCTGGCACACTGGCCCAACAATGCCAAGGGGTTCATGTGCTCTCCAGGGTTGCTTGCTGGCTTTCTCCCTCCTCCTCATACCCAACCAGCCTTCCATCCCTCCCTCATCTGGTATGTCTTCTTCGTCAGCAGCAGTGTAGCCCAAGCTCCCTTCTCAGCTCCGCGGCTTCTGGACCACAGTGGTTGTAGCAGCGGTGACCAGGGCTTTTGTTGCTTCTCCCACTGCACCAACATTAGCAGCACCACCAGAGCAGCCAAGCAACCCGCGCCAAGATTGCTGCACTGGGAAGCCAGAGCCGGCCATAGACTTTGCCTCCTCCAGCCTCCCCGATCAGCAGCAGGGCAGCCGTTGCAATGTCCACCTCTACAAAGAAAACCACAGACACCAGAAAGGGGAGGAAAAGTCAGGAAGAGGAAGTTGTGCTTTAAAATGGAGGATATTTTTGGACAGAAGGATGAAAGGGAGGACTGTGTCCTGGAAAAGGAGAAAAAGGCAGGGGTGGCTGAAGCGTGGTCCTCCCAGGGTGGCTTCCAGTCCCTTCCCTATCGGGGTCTGGGACCAGGAGAGGCCAGGCATGCTTTCCCTGCTTCCATCCATGGCCAGGGGAGTCCAGCCTCCCTTTATCCCTTCCTCCCTCCAGCTGCTGGGTCCTCTTCTTCCCCATCTCAGAGGCTGCTCCTACTACCTCACCTTGGCTCCAGTGGGGATCCACCTGTCTCCCTGCTTGCCTGCAATTCAGGTCTATCATTCCCACTTGTTGAACACTCTTACAAATTGTTTTTTTTAAAAAAAGAACCACCAAAAAACTAGTGTTCAAAAAGAAAGATTTTTTACATTTGTCTCACTTCAAAGTGAGACTGAATGATTGCAGTCGCATCTGAAACCGTTTCCAATGGGAATGAGGCACATATAAAGTGATCAGCAATTTGCTTCAAATCATAGTGGGAATGAACCCTAAGTTCCTTGGGCTAAAGATCTTTCCTTTTCTACTGTATTAACCAGCACACATGACAATATTGTTACATGAGTCATTAATGACAAAGCACACTGACAGATGGTTTCTGATAGCCAGAATTAAATGAGTGGTATAGAGCCAGTATGGTGTAGTGGTTTGAGTGTTGCACTGCAACTCTGTAGACCAATGTTCAATTCCCAGCTCGGCCATGAAACTCATTGAGTGACTTTGAGCAAGTCACATGCTCTCAGCCTTAGGGAAAGGTAACATCAAACCTCTGAACAAATCTTGCAAAGAAAACCCCATGATAGGTTTGCCTTAGGTTTGCTGTAAGTCAGGATGTTAGAAACGATTGAAGACAAACAACAATATATTGTTATATTGCTATAACAACAACAACTGAGCCACTTACTTGATGGTATTCAGTTTTCCTCTAAGTTCTCTCAGTGAACTGGAGGTGGGCAAATGGTGGGCCTCCAATGCATTTTGGTCTATACCAGTTTTCACCCATATTCATGTCCTTTTTTCCCTGGGGCAAACCCCAAAAACTATAGTATTAGCAGAGCAGATATGACTGTGAATTATTTTCTACAACACTGAAATAACAAAAGTGATAAAATCCACAAAACCTGTGTAGTAAAAGGTTAAAATGATGTCCTATTTTTCCACAGAGTTCAAGCTGTTGCACATTTAATGGTCTGTAAACATTTAAAATCACATCTTAAGTCACTGATTCAGGTGGGAAGTTGACATTAGCAACAATTCCATGATCAAAGAGAGCCAGGGTAATCTGAGATTGACACCGAGTGGCAAATAAATTGCAGTATAAAAGGTCATGTTGAAAATAACTGTCAGTTTGGAATGCTAGAAGGTCAGAAATTGTCAGCATCTTGCTCTGTGATGGTACCAAATGCTACTACGTGATGCTCAGGCTTGCATAATTTGAAATAATTGCACCATTATAAAATAAAGTTCAGAAATTCTAAATTGATGTTATGAAGAGGCTGTTTGCCCAGTGAGGAAGCCATGTGAAAAGCATTGACTGTAATCCAGAGAACTCAGTCCATTGTGTGTAAAGGGCATAAACTGCCAAGGGTAAACTTGTTTACACCATAATCCTAGGCATATTTAACCAGAGGCAAACCCCTTTGAATTAAATGAAACTTTCTCTCACATATATTTATTGTTATTATTCCAGATTTAAAATGGGCTTTGTGCTGATGTCATGAAGAAAGTCATATATGAGCTTGGATTTAAGGAAAGAGGACTTGATCAGATTACTGCTTTGGATTTCTGATTGCTCTTCTGCTAAACAAAAGATCAGGCTAGATTGGAGTGAGCAACTATGGCTTTCCAAAAATTGTTGAAAAGTATCTTACTACTGGCTATATTGGCTGAGTCTGATGGGAGTTGCCTTCCCACATTGGGACTTGGAGCTTTTTCAGGGGTGGGGGGACCAATAAAGACTGATTGATGGTCTACCCCAGGAGACCTAAGGATCCAGCTGCATTCTGGATGGCTCTTGGGGAGCTTCCTGTTGCCTTGGAAAGTGATCCCGTCAAAGTCTTGGCTGATCCCTGGAATAGGGAAATGGCCATGGTGGTGGACATGATTGTTCTTGGTTCAGTTGGGAGATGGTGTTGATGAAATAAACAGAGAAGAGAGGAATGTGTTGGAAGGCTTGGAGCAACTCCTACTGAACATGATGTTGGATCATTTGTAATCTGGGAACAACATGCAGAAGATTTAAACCAGGAACAAAACACCACCAAAAAGCCTCTAGTGTGAAGTTTGGTGCAGATTGCAGAGAAAAAAAATCCTCCCACGCAGAAGCTGTCAGCAAGACACAAACTGCTGGAC